GCTTGTTTGTATTGTGATTACTACCAGCCATGTATGCTTCATTTTCTTTCTGAAGAAAATCAGGATGAGTAAGTTCCCACTATAGAATTTACTTACAATTAGATGGCTAGACTACTAATATTGCACCTCTGATATCCAGCACCTTTTCAGCAACAATTTATATGTTACTTGCTAATCCAAGAAAAGGAATCAGCTCTCTTCAGGTAGCGAGAAAGTGAAGAGCATTCACCGCTCTGTTGTTATAATAAGCCTCTCATTTGTTTTCGGCTACTTTGCAACTGTGATTATTCATTTTTTCAACACAACCCTACATCTCAACATTGAAGAGGTTTTCTTGAATCAATCTGCTGGAATCTTTGTTTTCTTTGCTACTTCCGCAAACTTCTTCATATATTACGGAATCAGGTTAGCACTCAAAAGATCCCCATTTTTTCGAACTTTCAGAGATCATCAGCTATGACATATTATACTTGTATAGTCTTCGCAGTCAGTACAATTTTCTCGGAGTAGTTTACAGCGTAACAGGAGCAGGGTGTACGGCGAGGACGTACCAGTACACAGTAGGTTAAATTCCAACACTCTAACCTACCGAGCCTCTTTCTGGAGTACCGCGTTTGTCTGAGAAGACAAAAGTGCTGATTGGTGTTCATTGGCTGGCTACCGCAAATTGTTGTATAGGCCCCAACCGTATTCAAAATGATACTAAATAAATCTGAAAGCAGAGGGGAATGATTAACGTCGGAAACGTTATCCTTAAATCAACGGTAGGGCGAAACACAGAGGATCATTGAGTAAAGGGGCAAATTTCGGAGGAAAAGGCGTGCAAAGCTAGTGGTAATTTCGCACCAACTAATTTCCCCATCTGGTGGCATAACTCCTAGCTCGTAACTAAAAAGCACATATTTCAGCAAGCATTATCGCAGAATTTTCGACAAATTTCTTGGAATTGGTCGTATCAAGGCGTTCCTGCCCTTCAATGCGGAGAACGTTTCTGTTCAACATTCGACGTCTAGAGCGTTCCGTATATTGAGAACTGTGACCAACGACTACACATAGTCTGCTTTGTTTATGCAAGGGCATTTTCCCGAGGCATTGCTCTTCCCCTAGGCCAATCAATAAGCATGTTAATCATGATCTGATTTATTGTGTGGTTGACAATGAGCTTTTCCATTTTACATTCGAACACTAGTTAAAATTGCACTGAGGAAAGAATGACCAAATGAGCTAGAAAATGAAGAATGGCCAAAGAAGTGAAGATCGTCATCCAACTTTTGTCAGGTTTTTGTCACTAACAAAGAACAACAGAATGAGTGCTATAGATTTCTCAAGTAAACTGTTTTTTCTTATCAATCTATCTTGTTTGCTAGTATGCTTAACTCTCTGTCTAGAATTTCTGACTTTCTGAGTCACGCTTTTGAAGACAAGATGTGGATTCGACTGCTTCTTCATATTTTGTATCCAGAAGTAATTTTCTCTTTTAAAGATTTTGTAAATGCGTTATTACACTTGAATATGGTGAGAAATGTGACAGTTGCAGATCAGAGTCCGCTTGGCACCCTGAGAAGCATACTGTGAGATCCACTGAACTTTCTAGGCGGCCTTCATGTCAGCCTCACATATCAAATCATCGGAAGCTGATCTTTGTTTGTAGAACGTGGTGCAAATCACATCAACACGCTGCCAGTGCCTACCCCCCTTAATGCCTGCCAGTCACTCCTATGACTCCTATGAACAATACAAAAGCCTTTTGTCGCACACAGTTTTACACAAATTGGAAAAAAAGCTGGTCAAGTGAAGTAAACAAAATTTTAGGTGGCGGGTGCTACAACTCGTTTCTGTTAGGTGGTACTTCAGTATTACTGCATCCTTCGGAAAAGTATCGTCACCGAGAACAGTACTCGCCCGTACAGTGTTCGAGTTAGCGAAGGCAACTGATCAATCTAGCTGATTCTAGCATCATTGCTTTCTAAAATATTTGAAAGAAAGACTTGTCTGATTGCCTTAAATGCTGAACTGAAAAAAACCCACATATCTTCAAAGTCTCCACCCCCAATCTACCAAATCTTTCATCTCTATCTATGAGCTCACTATATTGGTACATGGACTCTCAGGAAAAACATGGCTACATACTTTTTCTAACCTCTTAAAAAGGAAGAAATAAGGTGGGTATACTGCACCAGTTGGTTAGTATGGTTCAGGGATGAGACCACTGCACCGAAACAATCCCGGACCAATCATATCTATCGCCATTATCTATTAGCACCGGTAGGTTGATGCAGAGGCCGATTTGGGAGTATATTGGTTCTTCCAAACTTTTAGTTTAGTGTGCCACGCGGGTGAATCGTATGTAGAATACAAAACGGCCTTACCTGACGCTTCACCTCAAACTTGGGTAATTAAACCAGACTACAAAAAGGATTAACTTGAACACAAATAAATACGAAACTTGGATTATAACTTGATCACAAATAACAAGATCAACGAGGCAAAAAGGAAGAGATCGTGCCGGATGTGACTGACTGATTGACGACGTGGATTGGCGGGCTTATGTAGCCGGGAGCAAAGATATCGATTATGCGTGGGTTCCGAAGATCCTCAGGTCCACGCACTTCCCACAAGAGGACATCTTTGTCACGTGATCATTCTGAACTAGCAGTTTAAAAAATGCAACATAGATTTACCACGGAAAAGACGATCCTCTAAACCTGACCAGAGTTATGGTCGTGTTCACGACAGGGACGAAATTTGGTGGCTTGAACTAAGTCTTACCCTGCAAATCTTTCCATGAACTGGTACGGGACTAGGTGCAATTCTACAATTCTGAATAGTAAGCGAATGCTGGAGCATTAACTGAAACAGCATCAATCAGAATCAGACAGCAATACAGACGTCACATTGCACCGGATGCAACTGCAGCAATTTTTCAAAGTAACATTCAACAATGTGAGGAAAATATTGATGATCATCTAATATGGTATTAGAAATATACATTTCCGTAGAGTATAAATTTCCGTGGAAGTAATCTCGTAAAGCTTCAACGAGGCCTTCTTGATGCAGCTGACAGTCGTTTCACTAGAGTGATTGCAGCGGTTAGGATTCCATTCATCACATGCTTACCTTTATCAATTCTTGTTTCTTTGCTTTTCCTATTTCCTCTTTTTTCCTTCACGATCCTCAACAAAACAAGATTCTTTCATTCTATTCAAGCACTTGAATTATGTTCTGCTGGGAATAGGCCATTTGACTATACGCATTTTTGAAAATCCTTTATCCAGCGTAGGAAACTAGCCATAAAAGCGATAAATTACAACTGCAGCAGTAAGAGAAACCTAAGCGTGTGAAACCAGTAACACTTCTACGATTGAATTTAGATTAACATCAAGAAGGAATCTGTGTATGAACCAGTTCTTGTCGTAACCACGTTAATAGAAGCAGTACTATATGCATACTGTCATCATCTCAGGACGAGGTATGCTTTATGTAGGTACACCACTATTATAAAATAATACGCGGCGTGGCAAAGAACTGTACCAAATGTAGCATTCGCCTTCTCCCCATAACAAGTTAAACGTTTCGATGAAAAATTGAGGTTTTTCTCTTGTAAGTTACCTTAAAAGCACAGTTCACGACAGAAAGGATTCCTGAAGATTTTCTTGAAATGAAGCTGTACCCCCAAGGTCCTCAGGTTAGTGCATATAATGCTGTCAGATTGGAGAATGGCCTAGGGAGGGCATTGTATGGGCTCGAGGGCCGTATCGGCTGTATGCCTAACCCAAACCTGGAGTTTTGAATGCGTTGTAGAGGCTGCAACCTATACAAGGTGTACCCATACTGAAAATTCAAACTAGTCGTGCCCTGTGGAAACAGTGAAAGAAGCTTTGGATATGTTGGTTCTGATGTGGTCCCAGCTCTTTAATGCTAATGACAACAACTGAAATCTCGTCCAGATTCCTCTTTCACGTCCCGTCTGTCAGAGCATTTTCGTGCGATGTTTATTTTCACCACGAGGCCTTACTTTTCATGAGGTTCTCTCGCTTTTTTCGCCAACAATGTACTATTTTCCACCAACACTTCCGTTTCTTAATTTGAAGGGACATCTTGGAATTATCATTGAATGTGCCTTTAATGGCCTTATGAAGTGCCTGAAAAGATGCATAATCCACCAAACCTCCAAGGCTGATCTCATTCTATGCACCCAATATGTGCATTTGCAGCTGAGAGGGGAAGGAGTTAGATGACTGATCATCAATACAAAACTTATGTTGGACTCGAACTGAAGGAGATCGTGATAATATGCAAACGTAGCAAAAGAAACTTGGACATGTGCCTTCTTCACAAACTGAAATAGTGTTCCAGACTAGCTGGTATTCCGAGTGTTTTTGTGCTTTCCTCAATCAGGGCTGCTTAGCAACTGCAAGCTCATCTTCGGCTCTAATTACCCACATCATGGCTAAAACGAACTTCGACTTAAGTTTTCGTTGTTTCACTCCGGTACACTTCGTGGACGTTGTCTGAAGATAGGTATTATTGAGATATTAGTCAATGTTATCAAAAACAACATTACTGGTTTGCTTTGAACAGATTTCCCAAGCTTGTGAAGTGTTGTTCCGTCTTGGCTCAAATATGGCCTGGAGTCGCCATTCAGGTCTTCACGAAACCGTGAAAGAACAAAATCCAGCCCTTGGATTCTTTCTGTTCTATCCACATCATGCAACAATGATAGTCTACGTCGACTACGTGAGAATCATCAGTATTACTTCCTGTCTAATTCAATCACAACTTTTCATCTGCTCCCACTCAAACCATCAAAGGATGATTTCAGTTAGAGGGATAACTCACTCATATGATATTCACCGCCGGAAAGTCGGTTCCAGAAAGGTAATATCAACTTCATCAAGATAACCTTTACGCATAATTTCCTTTCTGATCGAAAGTCATGGAAGGGCAAAANTGAACAGATTTCCCAAGCTTGTGAAGTGTTGTTCCGTCTTGGCTCAAATATGGCCTGGAGTCGCCATTCACGTCTTCACGAAACCGTGAAAGAACAAATTCCAGCCCTTGGATTCTTTCTGTTCTATCCACATCATGCAACAATGATAGTCTACGTCGACTACGTGAGAATCATCAGTATTACTTCCTGTCTAATTCAATCACAACTTTTCATCTGCTTCCACTCAAACCATCAAAGGATGATTTCAGTTAGAGGGAAAACTCACTCATATGATATTCACCGCCGGAAAGTCGGTTCCAGAAAGGTAATATCAACTTCATCAAGATAACCTTTACGCATAATTTCCTTTCTGATCGAAACTCATGGATGGGCAAAAGAAGCAAAGAACATTTAATTTCCTTTCTGATGAAAGTCATAGAAGGGCATGGTTGCGGCTCTTTTCTTAGAGACCTCTAACTGTGGATTCAGATGGAATCCGATCCTTAAACTTTCTTCCTTAAGATATCTTATTTGCTATTCTGGTGTTCTAGATTGAGAGGTCAGTCATATCCTTCTAACAATGGAAAAGAATCTCGCTTGAAGACTACTTGGTTTCACTGCATGGCTAGTGGATCTAAATGGTTGTTTGCACTGACTGAGTTAACAGGAAGGAGTGTGCGTTAGCATGCATCCGTTTTGTTTTGTGAATCCCTTTAATTTGATGTTTTCATCCGTTCATTACCCTCGTGAAGCCAGTTTTTCAATGATTCAATGATATAACCGCCGTTTTAATTAAGCACAGCTCTGACTCTATGAAATTAATGAATCAACTATTGAATAACATCATTAGGAGGAAACATGGCTAGCTAGTACCGTTACGATTTAGGTGTTTGCAAATCAATAACAAAGTAACTTTATTTTGAAATACCGTACTGTCCTGCCTATTGCTTTCCTATTGACTTCTATGACTCGTCAACTAGAATTGCTCCACATTTTCAATCTTAGTTGTTTTGCTACCTCATCCTGTAATTGAGATGTGTTACTACGTTTTTGAATAAGTGCTTTCAGTCGCAATGATATACCCGGAAAAACCAATTATTTTTCATGTTTTGTTTACTTTGCTCCCAATAGTCTCCATAATTGGAAATGGATTCGTTGTCTACGTCACAGCTCGATCCAAGTAAGTAATCGGTGGTTGATGATTGTAGCGACGATGTGAAAATCTCCTAATCAACAAAATGCTGTGTTCCGAATGGTGTGAAAAGACCGTCGTGACCATTTTCATAAAGACTCTAAACAAAGTTCCTTCCAACCTTCCACTCTGTCATTGAGGTGGAGGAATAGCTCGCAAAAAGGATAAAGAAGATTCCTACTTTCGCCTGTCATTCAGTAGTTAAAGTACTACAATGTCATCATTCACCATTCGGTAGCGCTGTGGTTGAAATGGAAAGTACAGATTGATTCACAAGCCTTTCCATCTAGCAAGTTCTGGAGTTGCTGTGAAGCAGTATTCGTTTCGATTCAGGACTGCTGAGCAGACATTTGGCATCACAAATTAGTTCTATAAAATGTTCTGAAAGAAGTCTTCGCTAGATGTTTCAGCAAGGACAAATGGCCCTAGACGGGCAGTTGTGACCCTGACACCATTCCGTATCTAAAGTTGGACCTAACATTACTTTCCTAATCATGGGCAATCCTCGAAAATACCTTATCCATGATCTTCATGAAAGTCTTCTCCGCTTTAGAGCTTTTCATGCAGTAATGACAAAGTCACAGTGTTTTTGATAACTTTACTGACTTCAAGTTGAATTGCAGATATTTAGTGATGCAGCTTCAGTGCAGGAGACTCTCCATATCCAATGAAACCGGGTGAACTGTAGAGAGTATAGTAGCCTCCAGACCACCTGAAGGAACCTGAGGAAACGTTCAAGTTCCTTTGCATAACTTTATGACTCCATTTAAGAACTCTACGAAGACCATGCAACCTGCTCATTGCTGCGTTGTCTCTCAGCGATGCGATGCTGATGTGCTCAAGCCTTATATCTACAGCCTACCATAGCATGTAAGTTTTCATGATTTGAAAAAAAGCCAAATAAGGTCACATCAATAATCTCAGAGAAAGAGAACAGGGTTGAGTTGATTAGATTGACTTTTGGTGGGATTTCTGGACATTTTTCGATCGGTAAGTTTTCGAGAAATACATACGGAAGAGTATGGATTAGGCTCTAAAGAGTCCGAGCACCGACCATAGAATGGAAAACGAGCAAGCAGGTATTCACAGCTCAAGAATACATCGGAAAAAAGTACGCCGAAGGGCAATACGAGATCAATTGCTGTCCAGAATATATGGACTCAAAGTTGAGCGGCGTCCTTTGTGGAATGTCGATTGCTTCTTTACCGTCCAACAACCCTTGCAGAGCTGATATTGCAGAGACTGATCAGAATCCTTCATGGCTGTCGCATTGCTGAGCCCCTGTTTTCCAGCACTGAAAATTTTCTCGCTCCGGAATGATGCCAACACGGACGAGCAAAATCGATTGTGATTCAAGTGCCTTTTNTTCTGCCTGCCTCCTCTTAGCCCATCGTTGTAATCTTCATTCTCTTCTGGTGTCGATGAGTGAACAAAAATCCACGAAAATGTAAAGTAGGACGATGAGTAATCTCCTAAAAAGGTCCCCACCAGAATAGCTTTCAAGTTCAGGTTGAACAATCTTCAACTCTATAGACAGGCTAAACTCTTCCAACCGTTAACTTCAGGCGAAAGAGCGTTAGAGTCATCAAGTGCAGTAATAGCGTACTTTTTTGGCGCCCCGGATTTCTAAAGCTCAAACAGGCTAATTATAGGCCCAGTTCACGATAATTTGGGTAATCCGGATTATGACGAAAATGGAAGATAAGGTGAAAAGTGGTGCGATGAAGGCGGAGAAAGTGCACGAATCGGCGTTCCCAAAGTGATAAAAGGCTTCGAAAAAATCGTTAAAAAGGGGGCTGGACGAGAAGAAGACTAGAAAAATGTAGAAGAATGGGACGTTCAGAGATTTACAATGTGTGTCATTGCATACGTGTTGGTCCTGGTGCGAATAGCTGACTGCAGCAAGCAAAAATGTCCTTTAAAATTCATCGACTCATAAGCATAAGTTAACAAAAACTTTAGTAAAACAGCAGAAATAGCCCGCCTTTTTCAGCCTCTCTGTATAGAAAATTAAATAAAGGATTGCAGCAGCAAAAAAAAAAAAANCTCATTACTTGACGATCAGCTGATTGTGGGTGGGTCCTAGAACGAATATTGTAATTTGTATCGCCTCGACACTCGTCTGATACACCGTCGGTCGAGGGGCGGGGAATCCGGGATATTCGGTAGCGGGGCTCCCACTATGCCCTAGCTATTGAGTTTTTGTATCCTACAGCATTCTTCCTGTAACCCTTGGGGCCACTGGGTATTCCTAGAGGAAGAACTCAGAAACCATTTTTGAACTGTACTGTGCTTTTTAATGTGGAAGTGGCGAATTGAAATCCGGATATCACAGTAATATTTCGATGGATAGGAAACTATCAAGAATGAAAAAAACAGTATATCGTATATTACTAGTACTGTTTACTAATATGCATTGCTTATAGTGTTCAGAGCAATTTGATTCCTCTGTCTACTTGTGTCTATATTCAATTGGTAACCCTATTTGCAATATGTTCGTCACCTATGCTGTTACTCGGCTTAGCAATAGACAGGCTGTTATCTTTGACGGCAATTTAGTAAGTTCATGCTTGTTTTCTTCTGAAAACCCTCCACTACTTTGGTTTTGTCTTTTTTTTTATTTTTTTCCTTGTTTTTTCACTGTTTTAAGCGGAAAGGCGAAAAGGAAGCCCACAAAGACAGATCTTATCAGAAAGCATCAGATCTTTCGTATAAGGAAGCAAAAAATGCGAAAAAAGCCGAAAATTTATAAAAAGAAAGAGTGGCTCTTTCAGTCAGAGAGATATGCTCATATGAAACTAAATTTATTGAAAATAAATAAATAAAAACAAAGATATAAAAATAATTACTGTGATCAACGTTTAAAGTTGAAAATTTTCTCAATTTCCTTCGGGGGAATAGAGCTAGTCGAAGCATTTGTAATTCAGCCACACCTTGATCACATCTTACCCGAAGTTCTATCTTATGGTGCAACTCCTACCAGGATGCTTACTTGGTATAACGTTGGACATAACGGTGCTTGTTTATCGAATGCAAGACGAGTAGGTGGTTTAAGTGCTCAGTCTTTGCAGACCCAGGCTTGCCAAGTGCATTCTTAATGAATTTTTCGTCAATCATTCCTCCGCTCCAAATTACAGAAAAGTGGTGTGCCTCGTGATGGTACCACTGCAAGGCAAAATTTTGGAAGTCTACATCAAGATAGCTTTGATTGTTTGTATTATGATAACTACGAGCAATGTATGCTTCTTATTCTTCCTGAAGAAAATCCGCATGTGTAAGTTTCACATTTCAACAACTTTGTTAGTTCCTAGGTGGTCAAATGAAATGAATCATCTTCTTTCAGGCAGTGAAAAAGTGAGGAGCATTCACCGCTCCGTGATCATCATAAGCCTTTCTTTTGTATTCGGCTATTTTGCAAGCGTAATCATTCATTTTGTCAACGTGATCTTACATCTTAACATTAATCAGGTTTTCTTGAATCAATCTGCTGGAATCTTTGTTTCCTTTGCTACTTCCGCCAACTTCTTTATTTATTACGGAATCAGGTTAGCAAGCAGGCGAAAGATCTATTTGGGCAAACCCGTATTTTTCCAAGCTTTCAGAGACTGCAAATGATAACATACTTGTATATACTCTGCGGCTAACAGTAGTTTCCCGAGTATATTCTGTGTGGAAGGGGCAGAGGGGGTGTAGTGGCAAATGTCATTACATCAGACATGTTCCTTGGTTCAAACTCCGGTACATGCGTGCCAGAATGGTTTGGGTGAAGAAAAGTTCTGAAGTATACATCGGCTGGCCACAGCAATATATTGCATAGGCCACTTAAGCATTCAATAGGCCACTACAATCCTAAATAGAGGTCGGATGCGTGAGGATTGGACAATGGCATAAACTTTACTTTACTATTTTTAAGTAGTAAAACCAAACACAATGAAACATTCAGAAAAGGAAACAATTTCTAAGGAAACAAGTGCAGTACTCGCGGTAATTATGCACCAACTCAGAAAATTACTCATTTGTGGCTCATAACTCACCGCTCATAACTCAAAAACACCCATTTTAGCCGTGAATATCGTGGAATTTTCGACAAACTTCTCGGAATCGGTCGTCTTAAGATGTTCCTGTTCTATGATGAAGAGCGCACTTTCACTCAGCAATCGACACTGAGAGAATCTCGTGTATTGAATAGAATTGTGACTGACGGCTACGCTTAGTATGCTTTTGTCATGCGAAGACGTTTTTACGAAGTACTACTTATTTTCCTGGACCGTTTGCTAAGCGCTGTTAATAACGGTCTAATTCATTGGGTGATTGAATATAAGCTTTTCTGTGCTGTAATCGAATATCTTTCCGATTGGACTGATGATGGAATGCTTAATTGAGCTAGCATCAAGCCTTTCGAACTATTCTCTTGAACTACTCGTTTCCTTCTCACAGTGTGTACACGCAAGAGATTATAATGGTTAAAAATTTTAGCATAACTTCGGTCTCGGCTCTCGATTATTAACCAGGAGCACAAGTGCTAGAACTGTAGAATTTTCAAATTACATGTTGCCTCTCACTAATTTAGCAAATTCTCTAGTATGTCTAGTTCTCAGTTCAGTTTTTTGAATCTTTCTCAGTAATGTCGTTGAGAAAAAAGTTGGGGATTTGATTGGGCCTGCACATTTTGTACTCGGAAGAAATTTTGACGTCCAAAATTTCGATAAAGGCGCTATCGCACTTGAATATTTCGAAAATGCGAAGTTTCAGCTCAGTGTTCGCCAGCACCCATGTATAACATACTGGGAGCCACCTAGCCTTTCCAGGTGGCTTTCGTGTCGGCCTCATATATTGAATCATCAGAAGCAGAACAACGTTCGTTCGTAAAACATGGTGCGAATCACGCCAATACGCTTGCCAGTGCCCACTCCGCAGTTGCTGCTACTTGGGTCTGTTGAGCCCGTTAATCCGGCATTGCTGATCCGGATCTGCTTGTGCTCAAGTTTTGCATCTAATCCAGTTCTTCACTTCAAAGCAACCTGTTAAGCTTAGTTGGTATTGCCAGTAGACTTTTGTCTTTGCAGTCACTCCTATGAACTCTACATATGTTTGAACGCCTTTAGTCGCATATAGTTTTTTACAAATTAGAAAAAAGGCCTATAAAGTGAAGTAAACGAAATTTTAGGTGGCGAGTGCTATAAATCGCTTCACTTAGGTTGTTTGTTTTATAAATCGCTTCACTTAGGTATTTATTGTGTGCATTTGAACTCACACTAACTCGACTCACATATTATGGGATCCAACCATGACATATGTAGTGCCCGAGCATATGCAAAAGTTCGCCAACGGACATGGTCCCAATGAGTATATTGCACGGGCTTCTCAGCGATTTTAAAACAAAAATCGAACTTGAAATAAAAAAAAACACAAAAGCTCTGTCATGTATATATGCCAGAAGACTGCTAAAAAAAGGACGGTAACTGTAAAAAGCATCTTCAAGCGCAGGTGTGCTTACTGACCTTGAACGCACCGTTACGTACACGATGAATGCATTTTCGATGAGGCTGATAGTCGGTACTGCTATATAAAAAAGCTGGTAAAATCCAGGTAGAGTATCTTGGAACATCCTGAAAGAAAGCGCATGCGCTTTTAGAATTATTACAGGTCGAGTTTTCAGGAACAACCACTGAGGCAACAGTCATACACGATTGCCGATTGATTAGCATAATATTAGATATGATATACAGAATTGTGGTGAAGTGAAGCAGTTCCAAATTCAGATTTTGGGCTATAATGGAAAGAGAAATAATGTGTATGATGGAAAGAGAAATAATGTGGCACAGAATGAGCTGTTTTCTTTTTTCTGCGGGGAGTACTGTGGGAAGAAGTGCTCATGACTCATTCATCATACATAAAGTATCGTGATTGTCGGGAACCCAAAACTGTCATTACAGTCATGTTTTCGAACTTTTTGTTCCTTTCTACTCGAGAAAACCGCTTTGGGTGACTTTTCTCAGGGAACGATTGAGGAGGGCGCTGTTTCAGATTGGTGTTCTACTTTTCGTTACCGAAACGGCTTGTTGAATTAATGAAGTCAGTCACAGAAAGATTTTTACTCGAGAAATGAAGGTGATCTCCAGCCAAAATGGAACCTTAAGTGATCACTTGCCTCTCTTCATAGGCAAGGCAATGCATGTCATGCGGTCAGACGTCTACATAAGTATGTACAATTGCCCAGGGGCAGTTCATAGCTAGATTGCTATTTATAGCGACATAATCTCTTAGCGATACTGTAAAGAGAATCATAAAACGTTAAAGAATGATTACAGGGAAATTTAATTGGTATCTTGTTCACTACTGTCATTTGGCTGTAGTACCCAATTGCGGTAGCTTCTTTTGTCATGAATCCCTCAGTCTATGTTCGCTTAGTTCGATTTATACTCCTGCCGTAGTATAAATCGGGCTACGGAAACATAGACTGAGGGCTTTCCTCGAAGTACAATTCTTTCAATGTTCTAACATCGCTATCCCAGTTCCCTCTACTGGAAAAAGTTTTTGTTCTATTCCCTGGGAGAAGGAACTGGGATTGGGACGGTGTGAAGTATAGAGAGCTCGATACTCGAAAAGCTGTTGAAAAGTCAGTTTCCCTATTTTAATTGAATCGTCTCACTCGGTCACTAGCATCGTGTCAAAGGGAAAGCAGATCCATTGTTGGAAATATCTGCTTTAGAGACATGCTAAGTCCTCCCTCAAAGAATAATTTTTAGTGCTGAAAGCAACAGTTTTATTATGAATACCCATCAATCTGTAACTAGGAATTATGAATTTTCATGAGAATAGGGAAAATTGAGGAGTCTATTGAGCTCTTGGAATCTACTAACTACTAAATTGAGTGAAATGTTTTGATCGGCTTTTTAATTGTCACTTTAAAAAGTCATATTTCCATTGGAAGAGGATCTCAATTAGTAATATAGTTTCCATCGCTGTCCTCAACATCCGTCTAGCGATCCAGCAGTTTTTTGATTCCTGAAGCCCAGAACGGTGGCGGCCGTGAGTCAAAAATCTGGCGATCTCATTTTTGAGTTCCGAGCAATCATCCAAAATTCCTATCGCGAAGCTGATGTTTCATATAAGTGGAATGGGGCAGCACTGTCCATCCAAGTTTGGCAATTTATTGACAAAGCAATTTCGCAGCATGCGGTTGAGCGCTGTCGTGAAAAAAGTAAACATTTAAATGCTGTGGAATCTTCCTTCGAACAACGTCGGCCAAGCTTTGTAGCTGAGAAGCGTAAATCTCGTTCAACGTTTTTGTTCAACTTTAATTCAAAGCTTGTGCCTTCACACGTGTAGACTTCATATGCGGTACTAATGCGGTGTCCCGGTAGGGATATCTCGCTGTGGGGATGTTGACCGATACGTCGACAGGCTATATCAATCTATGCGTAATTGACCGCTCCATCGCAATTTTGTTTCCTTCAGTCGTACAATGTTCTAGCTCTGAAAAAGTTCAATAGATGTGGTGGAATTACAACTGTGGACGTAACGACCGATAGTAGGAACCGATTTTGACCAGTGTATTTTGTACTACTCGATTTGTGGCTGCTGCTCAGTACACACTTTTCGAAAAGAAAAGGGAGGGACTGATGATAGGTCTTAGTGAGGCACTTCAAACCTAACATGAGGAGGAGGAGAGCCCAGGCGATCCGACTGCCTTCCACGATTCCCACGTACCTATCTGTGCAGAGCTTTATTGTTCAGCTATGTCTAAAAAATTTTGCCAATTGCTCTATCGCTGCAGAAAATTTATGCCTTCAAAGATAAAGATTTGTGTAGAACCTCTGCGCTTACATGCTTCTGATTAGTTTTACGTAAAATTCCACATAAACAGAACAATGCCACTGTTTGGTATGCTATCAAGTGCGTGCTTCGACGGGCGGATGAAGGACAGAAGAGCAAGGGAATTTCCATTTCGTCCTCGGTAGAGTAAGGTATTCTACAATGGTAAGGAGGTAAGCCAGAAAGTAATTGATTGTCGCCGCTCACAAAGAATACCGTACTCAGCGCTAGTCTTCGCATTCTCTTCTCTGTAGCAGACTATAGGATAACAGGGTCCAACTAACTGTGCAACGCATCGGGTTCTTCTGAATGATAGTAACACATGCCTATAGTATACACTTCATCATTCACATATCATCGTTTTTCACATATCGCTCACATTAGAATGAGGACCAGGAGAATGAGTGAGAATGTTAACCAAGAAACACTCCATGGCTGAGGGGTTACACCATCTCAAGCAAATTTCNTACAATTACCCAGAAGCAGTTCATAGCTAGGTTGCTATTTATAACGACATAATCTCTTAGCGATACTGTAAAAAGCGTTGGAGGATCATAAAACGTTAAAGAATGATTACAGGGAAATTTAA